AGAGTTGTTTGCTTGACATATTTTTTTCCATCCTTTGAATTTGAGTTCGTTTGTGTCTTTAAGTTTAAGGTGTGTCTCTTGTAGGCAGCATATGGACGGATAGTGTTTTTTAATCCATTCTGCCACTTTCTGTCTCTTTATTGGTGCATTTAGTCCACTTACATTCAACGTAATTATTGAAAGGTATGAGTTTCGTGCTGTCATTTTGATGTCTTTCTTTTGTGTACTGTTGACAGTTTCCTTGTTCCACTTAATTTTCTGTGCTGAGTCGTTTATGTATTTACTTTTCATCTTTTTCATTGTTGTTGATCTTGTATTTGCTGAGTCTTTATATATATGCATTCTTTATTTTGATGTGTAGGATTGTTAGTTTCCTTTGTGGTTACCTTAATATTTACCCCTGTTTTTCTAAGTTTAAACCAGTCTTTTCTTTATATCACCTTGACTTCCTCTCCATATGAAAAATCCATATCTACATTTTTTAGTCCCTTTTTTCTTTTAATGTTGTCATCTTTTACATATTGACATCTCTGTTTCCCTATTTTTAGTGTTTTATCTTTGATTTATTTTTGTGACTTCTCTATCTGGGTTGATATCTGGTTGCTCTGTCCTGTATTCTAGTCTTGGGTTATCTGATGTTTCTGATTTTCTAACCAGAGGACTCCCTTTAGTATTTCTTGTAGTTTTGGTTTGGTTTTTGCAAATTCCTTAAACTTCTGTTTATCTGGAAATGCCCTAATTTCACCAACATATTCGAGAGACAGTTATACTGGGTATATAACTCTTGACTGGCAATTTTTTTCCTTCAAAGTTTTATGTATGTTAACCCATTGCATTCTTGCCTGTGTGGTTTCTGCTGAGTAGTCCAAGCTTAGTCTTATTGCCTCTCCTTTGTAGCTGACTTTTTGTTTATCCCTAGCTGCTCTTAAAATTCTCTCTTTATCTTTGATTTTGGTCAGTTTGATTATAATATGTGTTGGTGACTTTCTTTTGGGATCTACCTTATTTGGGGTTCGATGAGCATCTTGACTAGATATCTTCTCATCTTTCATGATATCAGGGAAGTTTTCTGTCAACACATCTTCAACAATTTCCTCTGTATTTTCTGTTATCCCCCTCACGCCCACCCCCTTCTGGTTCTCCAATCACTCTTAGGTTATTTCTCTTGACAGAGTGCCACAGAATTCTAGAGTTTCTTCATTTTAAAAAATTCTTTCATCTGACTATTCCTCAAATAAGTTGATGTCAAGTGCTTTACCTTCAATGTCACTAATTCTATTTTCTACTGCCTCAATTCTTCTTCTATGACTTTCTATTTAATTGTCTAATTTTGAAATTTTATTCTGGATTTCTGACTGCTGTCTGTATGGATTCTTGCAGCTTATTAAATTTGTCATGATGCTCTTGAATAATCTTCTTAAGTTCCTCTATTGCTTTGTCTGTGTATTCTTTGGCTTTTTCTGTGTTTTGCAAGATCTCCTTCCTGATCTCTTGAAGAGTTCTGTATATTAATCTTGTGTATTCTTCCTCTGGTAATTCCAAGAAATTCTCTTCCTCCTGGAGAATTTCTTGATTCTTTATTTTGGGAGCTTGCTGAAGCCATCATGGTCTGCCTCTTTATGTGATTTGATACTGACTGTTGTCTCTGAGTCATCAATAAGTTATTATACTTTATTTATTTTACATTTGCTTACTGTTTCCTAGCTTTTGGTTTGTATTGTTTTGATATGTCCAAATAGGCTGTTCATGTGAGCTAGTTTGATTACTGATGGCTTTGAAGCTCTAATGTCCTGTGACCAAGTGGTTAGATCTGTTACTAAGTATGTGAGCCCAGGAGTCCGGTAATTTTCTTGTATGGCTTCAGCTCAGGTGTCCAGGTAGTTGGTCACCAAATGTGTGGTGCAGGCTCTTACCTACAGTCCTAGACAGGCATGGGTAATTGTGGTAGGCACAGGTATCCAGCTACAGTAGGGGGTCACTCACTGAGCAAGGCAGGAGGCTGATGGCTGGCCCTGAGTGTCTGGGAAGAGGGAGTTTTGTAGCCAGACAATGAACACCCAGAACTGTTGGATGTAAGGACTGGGGAACACCACTTATTCTTTGGCCATTGTTGTGGGTGGCTAGTGGCATGGTTGGAGCCACCAGTCCTCAGGCCCCTGATGTGGGCAAGTGAAGAACCTGCTTAATGGGCAGAGTAGTGACAAATATCACAAACCTACCACTTCAGAGCTGAAACAGTTGAAGTTAGACTTCACGTATATACCCTGTTGTACTGTGGTAATGAGGGACTATGCTGTTGAAATGGGCCCACATAAGTCTATGCAGGGGTGAAATGCATTCAAATTCCATAGACCCCTTGTGCCTCTGCCTAGGCAAAGGAGCTGTGCCAACCCTGAGTTCCTGGCTTAGGGGAGATAGCAGCTTATTTTTTCCCTGTTTGTTAATTTGTTCCCTATCCAAGGCCAGGAGAATGGCTCAGGGCACATGACAGCTCCTACTTCCAGCCCAGGGAACTCAGCAATTGCTGAAGCTGGCCCAGGACTCAGTGCTGAGCAGGGCAGGGGGAGGTAAATGGGAGAAAGGTTTTTCCAAAATGGGGTGTTTTTTGATCCACGTGGTAGGCCAGATGCAAGTGATTATCTTTAGCCGCTTGAGTGATGCTTTTCACTGGTTCTGGATGGCCAAGTAGACTCTGCCACTGGGTTTCTCCCAATGTGGAAAACGCTTCCCAATTGCCACTGCTTGCCTCACTGCGCACACAAGCTAATCCAGCCTGAAGGGCTCCGGGTCTGGCATCTCCTCGCTGCTTCCGAACCATCTCTCCCTCCTCCACCACTCAGTCTGATTCTTCAACTTTGCCTTTGATGTTCAGGGCTCCTAGATTGTCATATACAATCAGTTCACTTGATTTTTCAGGTCTTTGCTGTAAGAGGGACCATGGGAATCATCTGACTACTCTGCCATCTTGCAGCATAGTGTTTTTGAGGCTCATTCACTTTGTAGCATGTATTAGTCCTTCATTCCTTTTATGGCTAAATACATTCCTTTGTATGCATGTACTCCATTTTGTTTATCCCTTTCATCTGCTGATGGCCATTTGGGTTGTCTCCACCTTTTGCCTACTGTGTATAGTGTTGCTATGAACATTTGTGCACAAGTGTCTGTCTGAGTACCTGTTTTCCCTTGGGCTTATTTCTCCAAGTGGAAATGCTGGGTCGAATAGAAGAATTTTAAGGAGAACTAACAAGTGGCTTTTCTTTCTCTCTGTGTATATTTTTTTTCCTTTTCTTCCTCTCTCTCTTTCCTTTTGTTTCTGCTGCAGTGATGACACAGCATCCCACTGGACTGACACTTAGACCCAGCCCTCTGCCCCCACAAGACTCTCACTAGAGGCAAATGAACAATCTTTTGATTTTCTGGATGGAAAAAGAGAACTTGCAGGGCAAGTGCTGCCCCAAAACTGTCCTTCAGTAGTCCTTCATGTCCTGAAGTCCTGGGTCCCAGCCTTGGCTCTAGAAAAAATGCCTCCAGAGGCCAGGCGAGTGGTGCGGGGTCTGTGGAGCAGCTGGAAAACCCCATGCAAAGAGAAATAGCTGCTAGAGCTGACCAAACCAAACCAAACCCGTTGCCGTTGAGTCGATTCCAACTCATAGTGACCCTACAGAACAGAGTGGAATTGCTCCACAGGGTTTCCAAGGAGCGGGTGGCGGCTTCGAACTGCCAACATTTTGGTTAGCAGTCATAGTTCTTAACCACTGTGCTATAGCTGAAAATGTGTGGAATGAGCACCCAAGGCACCCAGAGGTTTGGAATGGTTTTTCCTTCCTCCAGCAGAAGGAGGAAACACAGACTTTTACGTGAAAACTCCATTTTTAAAATTGACTCAGAACTTTTTAAATTTTGTAAAAGCCAAACAAATCTCCAGGCAGACGGCAGCTGGAGAGTGGACTGTTAACCACTTCCTTTTGAGATACAGGGTGTGGTTAGTTGTTTTGTGTTTGAGGACCTAAAAGGAGGGGCCTGAGGAAGGAGAAAGAGAAGTTTCTCAGAACTGACAGGAGCTGTTGGGAGTGGGCATAGAGCCAGGGCCTGAGAGCAGGTCACTGAGCAGAGAGCCTTTGGGTACCTCAGCACCTTGCTCCTAGGGCTGTATGTTGAGTCACGGTCCCTCTTACTGTGTGATTTTCTAGCAAGTCTGTGCCTGGGAGACAATGCCCTCAGTCAGTCTGACACTGAGGAGTTGAGTGTCTTGTCATTTCTGGCTCCTGGAGACCTTGTCCTACTAAGCCTGCTTCCAACATGAGAAAATTCACCCCTTGACACTGCAAAAAAGCACAGTCCAACCACATCCCAGAGATTTAAGGGATTTCAGATTAGCGAATATAGAAGAGTCAGGAATGGTTATGAGCTTGCTACCTACAAGGAAACTCTGGTGGCTTACTGATTAAGAGTTACAGCTGCTAACCAGAACGTTGGCAGTTCAAATCCACCAGGCGCCCCTTGGAAACCCTATGGGGCAATTCTACTCTGTCCTATAGGGTCAGTATGAGTCAGAATCGACCCAATGGCAACAGGCTTGGTTTGGTTTTGGGACACACACCTTTGGGGAGACAGGAGAGGGTAGATCACTATTAAAAGTTAAATCCAATTAAGGAAGTTCCCTTAAAATCTTAGCTACATTTCATTACCCATATTTTATCCTCACAACAGCCCTGTTAAGTAAGGACGATTATTTGCTCCATTTTAGTGACAGAGAAGCCGAGTCTATAGAAGCTAAGTGACTTGCTTAAGTTCGTAGCTGGCTGTCACTCTAAGCTGAACAGTTTGAATGAAAGGTCTGTTATCTTCACCATTATGCTCTATAGCAGTCAGATTGGGATTCAAAGCATGTGTCAGCCAAACTTTCTGGATTACCTTTGGACTTGAAATTCAGGCCTCACACTTGAGATAAGATTTATCCCCATTAGCCTCAAATTGAAAGTACACTGCACCTCACTTACCAACCTGTCCTAGCACCAGCAACCAGGAAGTAGACCAGCAACCAGGAAATAGACCAGCAACCAGGAAGTAGACCAGCAACCAGGAAGTAGACCAGCAACCAGGAAGCCAACCAGCAACCAGGAACCAGACCAGCAACGAGGAACCAGATCAAACCAAAACCAACCCCACTGTAGTTAAGTAGATTCTGACAAGCAGCCAGGAACCAGGCAGAGAACAGTTCTCACACTTGAAGTTGCAGGGCCCTCATTGGCTTTCCACAAAGTCCTGCCCCCAGAGTCCAGTTTCGAATTGGCCCCAGGATCTCTGGGAAATGTAGTTCTTAGGCCTCGGGGCCCCACCTGTCTTATTCAAAACTGTTCATTGAAAAAGTGTGCATACATGACTTCCTGTGAAGGGTGTGACCTTGTATTTGACACAGTTCCTGCTCAGGGTGTGTGAAAAAGGCTTCCTATGTGTGATGTGGAGGTGAGAGCATCACAGGGTCAGGGAAGGGCTGATCCTTTAATCTAGAGCAGGCAGGAGGAAAGAATGGAAGATTTTCACCCTAGGGCATACTTTTGTTATTAATTCCTGAAAGACCTCTCTGTTTTTATTTTTCTTTCTTTCATTTCCCATTCCCACTCACTCTCATGCCCCCACCCAAAGGTACCCCTAGTGATCATCTGCATCATGCCCACTTGTATGGTATGAGGTAATAAGTCCTGTGGTTTTGTGTTTGCATGTGTTTTGAATACATATAAATGATGTTGTCTGTAAGTTTTGCTGTTTATCATAGTTTGCACTCTAAACTATGTTTTAAGGAATCAATTTATGACACTATTCTTGCCTTGTACTACAGCCTCAGCCCCTACTGTTCCAGTATATGCACCTGTGACCTGCTGCAAGAACTTGTGAAACTCTACCTGAAGGCTTTCCCTTGGCCTATGCTTGGGTGGCTAGATGGACATACAAATTAATGGCCCTGGGACCAGCACACTGCCCATGATGATGGGAGTTGGAAGATAAATCCCCCTCCTCCCACTTCTTCCTCCTTGGGTGGGATTACTCCGAGACATGGACAACACTCCACATCCTAGTGTCCTTCCAGTGCGATTAAGTGGCATTTGTTCATGAAGGTAACCTGCCAAAGTTGTTGCTGTTGGTTGCAGTCAAATCAGCTCCAACTCATGGTGACCTTATGTATAATATATGTGCCATCTTCATGACTGTTGATACGTTTGAGTTCATTGTTGTGACTATTTTGTCAATCCCTCTCTATTAGAAAATACCTTCTTTTTGCTCACCCTCTACTTTACCAAATATGATGTCCTTTTATAGCAATTAGTCTTTCCTGAGAACATGTCCATAGTAAGTGAGCTGAAGTATCACCATCCTTGCTTCTAAGGGGGAGTCTCGTTGTATTTCTTCTAAAATTTATTTGTTATGTTTGCAGTCCGTGGTATATTCAATATTCTTCACCAACACTACAATCAAATGTATCAATTCTTCTTCTGTCTTCCTTTTTTTAATTGTATATCTTTCCTATGCTTATGATGTGATTGAAAAAACCATGGCTTGGGTCACTGTAGTCATCAAAGTGACATCTTTGTTTTTTAAAACTTTAAAAATGTCTTTTGCAACTGGTCTGCCCAATATAACATGTCATTTTATTTCTTGACTGCTACTTCTCTGGACTATGATTATTGATCCAAGTAGAACAAAATCCTTACAACTTCATTTTTTTCTTCATTTATCGTGAAGATGATTATTAGTCCAGTTGTGAGAATTTTTGTTTTCTTCACGTTCGGGCATAATTCCTACTGAAGGCTGAATAGTCTTTGACCTTCATCAGGAAGTGCTTCAAGTCATCATTTTCTGCAATCAAGGTTGTGTCAGCTGCATATCTCAGGTTGTTGATGAATCTTCCTCCAATCCTGATGCTATGTTCTATTCATATTTATTCAGAATACAGATTGAGTAAGTAGGTGAAAGGACACAACCCTGCCACATAATTTTTCCACTTTCAAATCATGCATTATCCCCTTGTTCTGCTCAAACAACTGCCTCTTGATCCATGTACAGGTTCCACATGAGCACAAAGAAATGTTCTGGAATTCCTGTTCTTTTGTAATGTTATTCAGAATTTGTTATGATACACACAGTTGAATGCCTTCATGTATTCCATAAAACACAGGTAAAAATCTTTCTGGTATTCTCTGCTTTTGGCCAAGATCCTTCTGACATCAGCAATAATATCCATCTTTTCACGTCCTCTTCCAAAACCAGCTTGCTTCTGGCAGCTCCTTGTTGATGTATAGCTGCAGTCGTTTTTGAATTCTCTTCAGTAAAATTTTGCTAACGTGATATTAATGGTATTATTTGGTAATTTCTGCATTCTGTTTGATAGCCTTTCTTTGGAATGGGCACGAATAGGGAACTCTTCCAGTCGCTTGGCCAGGTAGCTCTCTTCCAATTTTCTTGACATAGACGAGTAAGTGCTTCCAGATTGCATCCATTTGCTCTACCATCTCAATTGGCATTCAGTCAATTCCTGGAACCTTGTTTTTTGCCAAGGCCTCAGTGCAGCTTGAATTTCTTCCTTCAGTGCCAGCAGTTCTTGATCATGTGCTACTTTCTGAATTGGTTGAATGTCAACTAATTATTTTTGGTGTTGTGACTCTGTATTCCTTCCATCTTCTTTTGATGGTTTCTATGTTGTTCAATTATTTTGCCTTTAGAATCCTTCAGCAATGCAACTTGAGGCTTGTATTTTCTCTTCAGTTCTTTCAGCTTCAGAAATTCTGATCGTGTGCTTCCCTTTTGGTTTTCTAACTCCAGATTTCTACACATTTCATCGTAAACTTTACCTTGTTTCTCAAGTGGCCCTTTGAAATCTTCTGTTCAGCTGTTTTGCTTCATCATTTCTTCTGTTTGCGTTAGCTGCTCTGTGCTTACAACCAAGTTTCAGAGTCTCTTCTGACACCCATTTTGGTCTTTTTCTTCTTTCCTGTTTTTTAATGAGCTTTTACTTTCTTCATGTATGATGCCCTTGATGTTTTCCTTTAAGTCTTCTATTCTTTGGTCATTAATGTTCAGTGACTGAAATCTATTTTTGAGACGGTCTCTAAATTCAAGCGGAATGTATTTAAGGTCGTACTTTGGCTCTCGTGGACTTGCTTTTTCTTCAGCTTCAGTTTCAACTTGCACATGAGCAATTAGTGGTCTTTTCTACTTCAGGCATTTGACTTCATCTTGACCAATGATACTAAGCTTCTCCATCAATTCTTTCCACAGATATAGTTGATTTTGAATCCTGTGTAATCCATTGGTGAGGCCCTCATGTATAGCCATCTATTATGTTGTTGAAAAAAAGTATTTCTGATGAATAAGTCATTGGTCTTGTAGAATTCTACCATGTAATCTGTGACCTTAATTCTATCACCAAGGCATCTGTTCCATCTACTGATTCTTTTTCTTTGTTTCCAACTTTTGCATTCCAATTACCAGTAATTATCAAGTTATTATCAATTTTGATTGCACATTAGATCAATTTCAGATTGCAATAAATCGTAAATATCTTCAATTGTTTCATCTTTGGTGTTCGAGTTTGTAGTGTAAATTGAATAGTGGTCATAATAGCTGGCCTTCCTTGAAGATGTATGGATATTAACCTATCACTTACCATGTTGTACTTTAGAATATATCTCCAAATGTTCTTTTTAACGATGAATGTAATGCCATTCCTCTTCAATTTGTTGTTCCCAGCATAGACAATACGATTGTCAGATTCAAAATAGCCAATAGCACTATGCCACCAGGGCTCCAAACAAGCAAATAAACTCCTTGAAAAACCAATTTCTCACCATATCACAGTTCATGTTGTACCACAGAATCATTCAGGGATGCTGGCTGCTCTTTTGTTCTTCTTTCATTTGTGTCCCAACTCTCCTCTATGTCCTAGGTGTCTTTTCCATTCAGCCAGTGGAGAAAGAGAGCAAAGAGCACACCACCAGTTGTGGCTAAGCCTAGAAGTCGTGCATGTCATCCTCACTCTCCTTCCATTGGCTAGAACTGGGTCAACATAGTTATACCTAACTTCTAAGGAGGGTTGGTGATGTGGTCTAGCCTGTGCCTACAAAGAAGAGGAGAATAAGGTAAGCACTAACCGTCTCTGATGATTGATACAAGTGATGCATTTGTACTCTCACCCTGTAAAAACAAAGTGACATTTTGCATAGCAGAATAGAGTCATCTTTGAATGACTGTTATATGTTTGGTACATAAGCACCCAGATATTTTGCTAAGTATTTTCATACATTTATCCTTATAGGCACATATTGTATAGTTTTGTGTGTTCCTGTTTTGTACCAGTGGGATCATACTCTAGAAAGTATGATCTTTATAGACTAATATCTCTGCTTCAGATTCCCATGCCCATCTTCTCAGCTCACTTGGATCAGACTTCCATCTCCACCTACCCAGGAGACTGCTGTTGTCAAGGTCACCAATGATGTCCATGTTATTAAATAAGACAAATTCATATTTTTATTATAATTCTTTATTTCTCAGCAGCATTCAACACACTTGACCATTTCCTTCTACTTGAAACACTTTTTCTGTTTGTCTTCCACGATTCCACTTTCTCTTGGTTTCCCTATAACTCACCGGCTGTATCTCTTGTTTAGCTGGCCTTGTCTTTTCTCTTCCACCTATAAAGGTTTTAGTGCCTTAGTTGTGGACCACTTTCTCTTCTCAATGTCCAGATACTCTCTGGGTGATCTCATTCATTATTATGACTTTTAATACCACTCAAATACTACTTAGCTTCCTGCAGAGAAAATCACCTAAGAAAAAGGTTTGAATGAAATTTTTCATTGGTGAGTGTAATCTAGGGTGCAAGAGTTTGAGAAATGGGTGGCAAAGCAGGGAGGGAGGGAGAGCCAGTACTTTCCCAAGTCGGCCACCTTTATGTTCCACTCATTTTTCCATCTCATTTCTCCATTAAATATTCCTAATATTTCTGGTTTGGGCATGTGTATGGGCTGAACAGGCAACCGGGGCAGCAGTATCAACAGAGAAGTTCCAGGGCAGGGACAAAGAAGGACGTAGAAATTTCTCAATCTGGTATCACGTTCCCATATTAACAAAATGGTACAGGAATAACTATGGTTGCTAAAAGCCACTGCACTGGAAATGATTAGCTGTGCCACTCTCTTGATACCTAGTCACATGCTACCATGTATTGGTTGAAATCGCGCCCTGGGAACCATTAGGCTATTTGGAGGCAAATATCATATCTCATTTTTCTTTGTTGAATTCCAATCCCAAATTATACACGTGTTATTTTGTAAAATGTAGACAGAGGATAAATGCTGGTTGAATTTAATAGATGCACGATACACACTGGCTGTCTCAGGGGCAATCCTAACATCCCAAGCAGCCGCAAGACTACTAGAATGAGGACCCCAACCAGTAGTATCAACTCCTCTGTGGGTCCTATGTCCATCTAGTCTGACTGAGCCACATACGAGACAATCAAAAATGTTGGCAAACGAAACTGTTTACTGACAGAAAAGAGACAACAAACAACAGGAAGAGTTCCATGGTGAGTGGTCCCCTCTGGCTCAAAAAAAGGCTGTCCAGGCAGAGACGGAAACCCTCTAAGTGTGCTCCCCCACTTTGCACAGTAGGTGAGGGACCAGCTAGTTCCTCCCTTAGCCATTTTTATATTCTGAGGGATGCGATTCACTACAAAGATTTTCCAGCCTGACTACCGGCGGAGTGAATGGTTGGACATGGGGGTGTCAGCCTGGAATGTAACACTTTAGCCCTGCTAGCTATCATGCTTTCATTGAATGAGGAAGCTTGAAGAATTGATGCCTTTGAATTATGGTTTTTGCAAAGAATATTGAATATGCCATGGACTGCCAGAATAAACAAATCTGTTTTGGAAGAAGTACAGCCAGAGTGCTCCTTAGAAGCCAGGATGGGGAGACTTTGTCTTATGTACTTTGGATATGTTATCAGGTTGAACCAGTCTCTGGAGAAGGACATCATGCTTGGTTAAGTAGATGATCAGCGAAAAAAAGGAAGTTCCTCAATGAGATGGATTGACACAGTGGCTGCAACAATGGGCTCAAACATAGCAATGACAATGAAGATGGTGCAGGACCGGGCAGTGCTTCATTCTGTTCTACATAAGGATGCTATCAGTCAGAACCTACTAGACAGCACCTGACAACAACAACAAGTTATCAGGTATGTGTGTGGTTTGGTGACTGTTTGTTCCTGAAGCCATTGAATGTCAGTAGGGAAGGAGGAACTACAGCCGTTTGGGCCCTCTGAGGGACGGCTTCTTCTCAGTGGAAATGATCTCCTCTATATTGTATTGGAAAACCTGGTGGTGTAGTGGTTAAGCGTTTGGCTGCTAACCAAAAGGTCAGTAGTTTGAATCTACCAGATGCTCCTTGGAAACCCTATAGGGCAGTTCTACTCTGACCTACAGGGTCAGTATGAGTCGGAATCAACTTGACGGCAATGGGTTTCTTTTGGTTTTTATATTGTATTACCATATTTTTTGTGAATGCAACATTGAAAAATGTTAAAGATTTTCCAGCATAAATCACAATGTGTCCCAAGATAACCCCAGGCTGCAATAATAAAATGCCATTACTATTATTAATTTTGAAAAGGTGTATGGTTATGTTTTATTAAAAAATTATCATTTAACTATATGTACTGAAATTTTTATAGGTGAAAAGACGATTTAATGTCTAGAATTTTTTTCACAATAATTTGGGGATACAGAAGAAATGCAATAGGCCATTGGTTGAAAGTTGATGAGCTGGGTGATTAATACACAAGACAAGCTTAGTGTTATATTCTTTTTACTTTTGTATATGTTTGAAATTTTCAAAAATAAAAACTTTCAAAACTTGAAGTAATACTGATGACCGTTTTTTACTTCTTCCTCTAAATAGTAAAAAATTGGTCACCAAGTTTGGGCACAAGTTTTTTCTGTAAGGAAATACTGAACAGATTCTTCAGCACTTCGTTTACTTCATCCTCTTTTAGGGTCTTAAACACTACCAGATCCATATTGTCCTTATAATTGAACCTTCGAGAGGTGAGGGTGAGGCCCACTAAACAGTGAACCCCTTCTTGTGTCTGCAAGGAACAAAAAGATTTGCTTGTAAACACAGATGCTGGAGATGTCTGAAGGAACGTGTTCATGGAGGCAAAATCTTCAATTGTTCGAGGCTCAAGAGTAAAAGAGTAGATTTTTCGGTATTTATTCTTTTCCAGGAGATCAGAATTAAGAAATTCTTCATTTGGAATGCACTGCTCTCTTCTGATTTGGTCCAGGTACCAGATTCCTCCCTCTTCTCTCAAGCGGAAGATGCAGGGTATCTGAGGTTGATCCTTCCCAGGAATTAGCTCCAGAGGCTGCCACATCTGGTAGGAGCGTCCAAAGCCAGCATCTGCTATGTAGTTTCTGCCATCTATGGTCACTTGCAACAGAAGGTGAATCATGTTATTGCTATACCTGTCATCTGGAGTGCTGTAGACATAACCTCCCAACATTGTGGTCTCAAAACCCATTGTAGTCAGAGCCCAGTACAGGAGATAATTGACCTGGAGACACCACCCACCTCGCTTCCCCCTCACAATTTGTTCAAAAATGGTCTTTAAGTCCAACTTCATTTCTTCTTCACAATGGATGTTGAGGTTCTCAAAGGGAATGGCTCGGATCTGGTGTTGAAGGATGTCAGTTAATGTTTCCAAGTCCAATGTCTTCCTAGAGTCTGTATACCCAATTCTTTCAAAATATGCTTCAAGGTCCATGATCTCCTAAAGCAAGAAAACAAAATAAATAAATAAATAAAATGACTTTTGTGCTTGGATTTTCTTGAGTAGGCTAATTACAGCTATAATGTGTTTTTAATACACCTACTCCTCACTTATTGACTATCTTGTTATCTGGTATTCTGAATTTACAACAACAGTAAAACATCTACTATCTGACTATTTTGCCAGTTAACAATGTACATCTGGCAGAAACGAATGCCGAGGTGCAAGGCTAGAGTAACGCAGGCTTTGATGGTTAAAGTTATGTGTCAGCATGGCTGGGCCATGATTCTCAGTGGTTTGGCAGTTATGTAATGATGTAATTTGGCAGTTATGTATTCATGTAGTCATCCTCAATTTTGTGATCTGATGTGGTCATCCTCCATTTCACATAACGCACATTTTTGGATAATAACCTGGTCTTTGGAGCCTAACCATGTCGATAAGTAAGTAGTGGGTGTATTTCGTTACAAACAATGGTTATAAATATCTGTAGTAATAATTCATTGTTTAGTGATTTTATGTAAGAATTACTTTCACTGTAAGTCACTTAATAATCTCAGTAACCCTGTAAGTAAAGTAATGTCATCTTCACTCTTACTTCCTCCATCTTTAAAACATAGGTAAATGGAAATCTAGATTAAGTGACAAGCCAAATGACAGCTTATATATGTTTCTTTGGTGATGAATAAAATGTAATTGTAATGATATTAATTAAAAGAGGAATTACAGAGGCGGGGCCAACATAGTGTCGTAGTCAGACACTTCCGGTAGTCCCTCTTGCAACAAAGACCCTAAAAATCAAGTGAATCGGTTATACGACAATCTAGGAGCCCTGAACATCAAAGGCAAAGTTGAGGAATTGGACTGAGTGGCAGGAGGAGGGAGAGATGGTTCGGAAGTAGCGAGGAGTTGTCAGACCTGACCCGGTGACAGCCTGAGCCCTTCAGGCTGGCTCAGCTCGTGGTGCAGGGTGAGGTAAGCAGCGGTGCTTGGGAGGTGTTTTCCATACTGGGAGAGACACAGCAGCAGAGATTCTACTCAGCTATCCAGAACCAGTGAGAAGCAGTCCTTGATCAGGGGAAGATAATCACTTTCATCTGGTCTACCACATGGATCAAAAACACCCCCCTTTGGGAAAAACTTCTCTCCCATTTACCTCCCCTCTCCCTGCTCTGCACTGGGTCCAGGAAAGCTTCAGCAAGTGCCGAGTCCCCTGTGCTGGTAGTACGACTGGTCATGGGCCCTGACCCATTCTCCCAGCCTTGGAGAGGGAACAAATTAACAAACGGGGAAAAAATAATATGAAAGCTCCCCTAAGCCAGGAACTCAGGATAGGCGCAGCTCCTTTGCCTAGGCAAAGGCATAAGGGGTCCACGGACTTTGAGTGCCTTTCCCCCTGCAGAGATTTCTATGGGCCCATTTCAACAGCATAGGCCCTCATTACCACAGTACAACAGGGAATATACCTGAAGTCTAACTTTAACTGTTTCAGCTGTGAAGTAGGAGGTTTGTGACATTTGACACTGCTCTGCCCATTAAGCAGTGTCCTCACCTACCCACATCAGGGGTCTGACTGGTGGTTCCACCCATGCCACCTATGCACCTGTGACATGGGCCCAAGAATAAGTGCTGCCCCCCAGTCCTTACAGCCAACAGCACTGGGTGCTCATAGTCCAGCTGAAAAACCCACTCACCTATATGCTCTAGGGAATAGGGACACGCTTTCCTCCTGGACACTCGAGGGAGGTCGTGGGCCCCCTGCCTTCCTCTGTGTGTGATCCCCTGCTGAAGCCGGATGCCTGTACTACCACCAATCACCCATGACTGTCTAGGACTGTAGGTGAGAGGCTGCAACACACACTTGGTGGACTACTACCTGGACACTTGAACTGAATCCATACAGGAGGAGTGGGTGGACTCCTAGGCTCACAAAGTGGCAGCTCTGACCACCCGGTGGCATGACATTGGAGCTTCAGGGGCACTGGTGATCGGGCTACCTCACACAAGCAGCCTATTTGGGCATATCAAAACAAAACAAAACAAGAAGCTAGGACACAGTAAGCAAACATAAAATAAATAAATATAATAACTTATTGATGGCT